TATAACAAAATGGCAATAGCTACATACCTAATAACAATTACTTTAAATGTAAATGGATTAAATGCTCCAATCAAAAGATGGAGGAGTGGGGAGCACTGAATGGATAAGAAAACAAGACCTTTACACAAAATACACACTTAAGGTCAAGAGACACACACAGACTGAAAGTAAAAGGATTGAAAAAGATATTTAATGAAAATGAAAACAAACAAACAAACAAACAAAGCTGAAGTAGTGATACTTATACCAGACAAAATGACTTTAAAACAAAGACTATAAGAAGAGACAAAGAAGGACCCAGTAATCCTACTTCTGGGTATTTATTTGAAGAAACCCAAAATGGTACTTCAAAGGGATGTGCTCATTCATATGTTCTTTGCAGCATTGCTTACAATAACCAAGATGTGGAGGCAGCCTGGGTGTCCCTAAATGAATGAATGGATAAAGAATAGGTGGTATATGTATGTATGTATATACATATATAATAATATTATATATATATATATATATATATATATATATATATATATATATATATATATATATAATGGGATATTACTCAGCCATAAAAAAGAATGAAATCTTGCCATCTGCAATAACATAAATCATAAATGGACCTAGAGGGTACTGTGCTGAGTGTAGTAAGTCAGACAGTGAAAGACAAATGCTATATGATTTCACTCATAAATGGAATCTAAAGAAAATAAACAAAGAAAACAGAAACAAACTCATTGATACAGAGAACATTTTGATGGTTACCAGATGAGAAGGGGTTTGAGGGTAGGTAAAAAAGAGGAAGGGATTAAGAAGTAGAAATTGGTTGTTACAAAGTAGTTATGGGGATGTAGTGTATAGTACAGGAATATAGTCAATAATATTGTAATAACTATGTATGATGTCAGATGGGTACTAGATCTATTGGGGTGACAGATGGGAGGGGGGTTGGGAGACAGGGTGAAAAAAGTGAAGAGATAAGAAGTACAAATTGTAGTTACAAAATAGTCATGGGGATGTAAAGTAAAGTATATGGAATATAGTCAATAATATGGTAATAATGACGTATAGTTTCAAGTGGGTACTAGTCAGGGGGATCATTTCATAAATTATATAAATGTCTAACCATGCTGTACATCTGAAACTCATATACAATAATATTGAATGTCAAAAAAATAATTAGAGAGGTTATCAATAGGTAAGACTGAGTGATTATAATGTAATATAAAATAAATATGTGCTTGCAATTTCTGAAAGAAAAATAATTTTATCAAAACAAATGGCAGAAACATGTTCTTTATGAAAATGCAAATAAAAGGCTTACTCTCAAATGTGGTAAGCCACCAGGAATACTGGTAAAGATGCTCCCAAATATAGGATTATATAAAATGAGTTGATCTTATTGAATAATTGCCTACCATATTCCTGCCATAAGACTAGGCAAATTGCATAGGCACTTATTTCTTTTTATTCTTAAAGGACCAAGAATCTAAGAAATATGGGTTCCATTGTGTAATGGTTAGCATTCTGGACTCTGAATCTAAGAAATATGTGATAGTCTCTCATAGCTGAGGAATCCAAGTCTCAGAGAAGTCGTGCAGCACATAGATGGCAAGAAGGGAGTCTCAGGTTAGTAGCTAGTCCACTAAAACATGGTATACCTGTGCTTTCCCATTTTGCCTTGGGGTATATTTCTGTGCTTCTATTTAAATAAGAATACAACTGCAATTCTTGGAAATTCACAAATTCTACCCCATCGAGTGGAACCCCATTGTCAGGAAGAGACCTGAGAGTCCCCTAAATTGTTCACTTCATCTCGTATGCTGCCCACTAGGGTGGCCATTAGCCATGAGTGGCTACTGAGCAGTTGAAATGTGACCAATCCAAATTATGTGTGCTGTGAGGTAAAACATACATGGGATTTAAAGACTTAATATGAAAACAACAATGTTGAATATCTTATTAATATTTTTATACTGCTATTGTGTTGAAATGATACTATTTTTGATACACTAAGTTAATGAAAATACATTATTAAAATTACTTTCATTTTTAAACATAACTACTAGAAAACGTAAAATTACATTTGTAGCTTACATTTGTGACTCATTATACTTATATTAGATGTGTGTGATATCGCTGAATTTGCACCAATTTTCATGAAGATCAAAGAAAACAGTTTGGCTTTTATTTTGCTCAGGATACTGCCCCCCAACTTACATATATATTTACATATATATTTATATTTATGTATATATTTTATTTTATATACTTTTTAAGTTTACATTTATATACAGAGGGTGTCAAAAAAGTACACACATTTTAAGAAAGGAAAAAACGATTAAAATTGTAATATTCAATATATACCGATAACAAAAGATGAATACAAGTCATGTTTGATTTCTGCAATTACAAGAGGTGCTCAAAGTGGTTACCATCAGCGTCCAGACACTTCTGATTACAGTGAACTACTGCTTGAGCAACGTTGACCAAAGTGTCCACTTGTATACATTTTTTTGGCACTCCTGGTGTACATATCCAGTGTGTGTGTTTGTGTGTGTGTGAGTGTGTTTGTGTGTGTGTGAGTGTGTGTGTGTGTGTGTGTGTGTATACATCCTTTAAAATTGTCAGAGACTCCAACGGATTCCTGTGAATTTATGATGAAGTCATAGTTTTTGGAAATATTTCACAGTTCAAGTCTAAAGAAAGTTTAGCTTTTCACTTTTACCAAGAGAAGAACATATACTTTCAGTTTCTGGAGGCATGTTAAACGTATCTGAAATAGTTTATAGGAATGTTAATTCCACAAACATCTATTTTTCACCTGCTGCATTTAAATATAGGCATCTCAGCTGAGATAGCTATACAAACATTAAATTATTTCACCTCAATTTTCAGAATGCTACAAATAATATAAATAAAGGTTTTTGGTTTTTTTGGTTTTTTTGTTTTACTCTCTACTACAGCCATTCCTACAGTTACCATACTTTATAGGAATAAATACTGTTATTTGCTTCTTGGCTCTCTCTGTATCCTTTCATTTTATGTTTGTTTTCTGAGAACTTTCAATGTGTGTTCATTTTGGTGAAAAGTTTTAAACAAAATAATATTCAAGGTGGTCGCAGTTTAGCTCCCTGTTTCCTTTGTAATATTATCTCAGATACTCAGTGACATGAGATGCCTGCTTCAGCCAAATTACTCCACGTTCTTCACCTCCACGATCCACATGGCGCCATCCTTGCTCTGTCTTGTACCCTTGGGCCTGCCCATCCCTGCTCTATCTGGTCTACTGTGCTCACACTTGGCATCCCGGTCCTGCAAACTGAAAGAATCTTTCCTTCCCATGAGCTTTCAGCATGGTTCCAACTCCTGCACATCCTGTAAACATGTCTCAAAGGAGATGCCCTCCAATGAGATGTTTTCTTCATCTTCTCTTATAAAGTTTTGTATATGTCTCCTAGCACTGAATTACATCACAGCTAGTATTAGTTATCTGAGATGTTTCTCCTACTCCTCCTTACCACACTGAGTTATTTTTAAGAGCTTTTATTTTTCATTCACCAAAAATTTTAATACACTATCTCAAATATCATAAGAATATACAAAGAGCTCTAGCATTGGTGTGTGCCTTAATTAACAATGGATATATATTTTGTACCACTTTGTCGATACTTTTGAATTTTCCTTTTGGAAGTTTTTTTAAAAAGTAACTTTATTTAAGATTCCACACATTTAAGAATTTAAAATTCCCAATAAGATTGGTTTATTCCTCTTGCATCCCACTTAGTAGTAGCTTTTTGAAATTTGGAGCTGTGCAAATAAAACTGGCTCTCTCACTACTTAGATCTTATGAGATTACTTCTTAATATGATAAAAATACTATTCAAGTGATCAGACCTGTACAAGGGCTAATATATCTGCCATCCAGAGATCTACGCAGAATGGAAAGAAAATCTTTTCTCAAGGAAATAGATTAGTCCAAGGCTTCTGAACTCTTGTGCGTTACATTCTCATATGTATACTTATTCCTCAGTCTTGCAATGTTCATTTGCTCTCCTCTGTTCTATTCTGTGTAGTGCTAGTAGCACATCAGGCAAAGGGTCTGCTTAACTAGTCAACTAGTTTTTTTTCTTAACCAAATTAAAATAATCCCTTTGCAATGAATGGGGAAGTAAAGGGAGAAATGGCAATTGTCCCCATGCCATCAGCCATCTTAAAAGCCAGAGCAGGCAAATTCATTCTTTTTAAAGCACTTTTGTTTTCGCCCTTTATGAGAGAAATAATTTAGCTACCAAAGAAACAGTAATTTTGTTTTCTATGCTAAACTCATGGTTTAAATATTAATCTACGTCCTATTATAAGATGACAAAATTTGCTCTTTTGTCATTTTAATAATCTATATTGAATTTATTTTCATCTCATACCTCTAGGATATGATAGGCATTAATGCTTCTTGCTGTTTCCACTCCTTACAACATTGTCACTGGATGTATTATACCGAACATTTACCAACTCAAAGTTTTAATATACTTCTTTAGACAAATTACCAAAAGATATTTTAGGTTAAAAGAGTGTAAGGACACATTGAATCACCTAAACCATTTAAATATATAAACTCGACCTCTCAAATTGGAATGTCCAGCAGTCCAAAAAGAATAAAGTAAATAGCATAACCACAGTAATGTCTAATTAAAATCGAATAACTCTGCCCTTGATGTTCTTATGTTTTATCAAGAGTGAATTGATATTTGTTAAGGATTACATTCTGTACCAGACTGCACAAACTAAGGAGTCCTCTCTTATTTTATTAGTCTAAGAAGAAGCTGACTAAGGGAACTCAGGAAGTGGCAAACACACTGAAGCTTAGAGAAAAGTTGGAAAACAATTTTATGAGAAAAAGTTTGAAAGATAATTTTTTAGATTCAAAAGAGTTGTTTTTTTTTTCTTTATGAAAGCAGTAAATTACTGGTTGTTTATGCCATTCCTTTTCCTTCCCCTTTCTTCCTTCACACCGTCCACCCTGTAAAAACACCAAATACAAATTGAAATGTACCTGTTGGAAGAGGCTCTGCCAGTTCTTCTTTCGTGGAGTGATGGGGTGACAGACAACTCTTCGTAAGCACAATGTCATCCAGTGCAATATCACCCCGGTGTCCTTTCCCAACTCTACCTTCAAATTTGAGTTGGAAGTCCTCATCGCCAGACAGAAACAGCTCTTTCCGCTGCCAGAAATTGCCTTGTTCTACAGTGAGGTTAAGGAGGACCTTCGTTCGGTTTGAGACTGACACCTGGATCAAGGTGAGTGCCCCAATGCCATTTCCATACATGTGATAATGAAAAATTATCTGTAACCAAGAATGGGAATGTAATATATAATTACTATAATTAATTCCATTTTATTTTCAATCATATCATATTACCGTCTTCTTTATTAACAGATTCCAGATGGAAAACAAGATCTGTATGTTCTATTGCTCTGTGAGTACTCTAACACCGAGTGAAGTTAGGCCAGCCTTAAGTCATACGTTGCTATACTGGGGGTGCCAAAAAAAATGTATTCATATGACTCGTATTCATCTTTTGTTATCAGTATATATTGAGCATTACAATATTAATACAGTTTTTTCCTTTCTTAAAATGTGTATACATTTTTTGGGCACCCTCTGTATATGGAAAACAATAGAAATGTACTGGAAAAAAATGAGCAGAGTTTACTTCCTTTCTGTGATTTCTCAAAGCAGGATTCCCCGATAAACATTTAAAGTCCACTATCAAAGGAATTCAATATGAGTAAAAAGTGATGCATTATACAAAAGACTTTTCACGATTTAAGAAATAGCAGGGACTAAAGACAATCATTTTTAATCTCAAGAAACTTGAAACATTTTCTTTAAAATAGCAGAGTACTCTATTGCTATCCCACCACATTCCTGCATTTGAAACACATTTCAGCTCTACAAGATCTTTAGAGCTCCACTGTATAAAGTAAAACCACCAGAACAGCAATTATCCAAGTTTTACTAGAAATGCTAGAAATATGCTTTAAAAGATCAGCATTGGGAGTTTTTCCCTGAGTAAAAATTAGTACAAGTAATTTCGGGGATTAACATTTCAATGTTTCAAAGATGGAGTTGACCAGAATTTTAGGTATTGCTACATAGAAGGAGAAAGTCAGGGAAAATTCTGGAAGAACAGTACAGGTTACAAATAGTAGGAACTCAGAAGGTTTTGAAACTTTCTTCTTCTCATTTGTATGAACAGGGAAAACTGTAATGGGGGGTGACCTTCACAGGGAAAAGACATTATTGAAACAGTAGGAGTAATGGAAATCATACTCTGGTGAAAGAAAAAAAATGAATGTGTTTCAAGGGTAAAGAACGTGATTAAACAATATATACAACACATACTACAAAGACCATCAAGAATAGGCAAGCTCTGTGTGAAGTGACTACTCACATTTCCTAGCAGATGAAGTATTATGTTATGATCCAAAAATATTTCTTCTGTTGATTAACCAATTAATGTTGGAAAATATGAGATCGGTGACCACTGTGAATGGTCCAGAGAGGGCTGGTGAAACCGGGGTGGCATAACTCATTAAAGTGACAACAAAAGACACCTGGGGCCAGCGTCTCAGGCAGCATCAACAGGCAGGAGAGGAGGCTCTGGGATGAACACAGCACATGTCTGTTTAGATCCCTTCTAGTCACAGACATGATCTGCCCACTGTTCTGCCTTGTCTTGTCTTCTCATTTGTGCAGGACACAGGAGGCATATGTTTAAATATTTCCCTATCTTCTTGAGGACATTTCCTGAATGATGCTGTTGGGTTAACATGCAAACAAATGTCTAAACACCTCCATTTCTACAGAGAACACTTGGTGACAGCATAACCTAATCACAAGATAACCCGAGTGAATAAAAATCGGTTAAGTGTTGAATTCTTCTAAAGACCATCAATGTTTTGGGATCATAGACTAATACTTCATCTGCTATGATATTTGAGTCATCACTTCACATGGCTTACCTAGTCTTGATGGTCTTTTCACTGGAAATTTTAGTTACTCAGGGGTTTGATCTCTTCCCTCGTCAACCTCTGTCTTCATGCCTCTCACCACTCATTTCTCAAAAGGAAGAAAAAAATCTCCAATTTCATTTTTCCTGTTTGAAGGTATCTCACAAGGTTCAGTGACAGAGATGACATCCATGAAAATTTGGGAGGTCACTCTGTTTATCTGATAAATATATTTTTTATATGAGAGACCCAATCATTCCCAGCATGACCTTTCCTTACTTCTTTGTATTCAATCTATATCATAAATATTCATTAAATAAAGCATTCATCATTAATTTTTGACATTTCTTCTAGGCATACTTCATTATTCTCACACAGATATTTAAAACAGTGGAGACTATAGTTCTGGGACCAGGGTAAAATAGAGATGAATGCAATCCTTGGTTACTACAGTACAAAACACAAAATCTTTTGAGGATTTTCAGAGGAAATATCTAATTAGAAAAGCTCAGAAGTCAAACTGGAATTGTATATATTTTATGTTTAACTTCCTTTCTAAGACTAGAATTAATTTGCAATTTTCAGAGTAGCTGTGGATATAAGAGATAAATTTGTAGACACTCAATATATATAAAATCTGGTGTGTTTGGGCTTTATATTTGAGCCAGTATCAAGTAATTTGGGAGACAGGAAAAAAGTAAAAATATATTTCATTAAAAATCCATTTTTTGCCAAACTAATTAAAGTTTAGTATAATTCTGTATGATTTGTTATATCCATTCTGGACTCCTGACTAAGTTATCTCTCTCACACTCTGATCTGAAAATGTCACTTCCTTGCAGAGAAATCTGTTAAACTGGGGTGGCATAACTCCTGTCTATTGAATGTGCCTGAAGAGATAAAAGAGATAAGATTACTATCTGAGAGAAAACCTATGAAATCAACTTAAGCACAAACAGGAAAACTCTTAAGACAAACTAAAGGTTTAACATGCATTAAGACTGTGACAGAGTTAGGATGTGAAGGATGGTCAGTATGAAACAAAGAACGAGAATCTGTAGTAGGTGCAGCTACAATTGGGGAGCCTGTGAGAAAAAATTTAACATACCTCCTCCCCAGGGTTAGGGCTCTCTCTATTATGAAAACAGGTCCATGAGAATATTAGAATTTGAAGACAATAAAGGTTTAAATCATGCTATTGTCTCCCAGCCTGATTCTTTGATCAGCTGGCAACTTTGTGGATGTAATTTGCTTTTCACCAGTGCTCAAACTTTAGGGAACATACCACTCAGAAGAATCCATATGTTCAAATCTTATTGCAATTCTCATTGTAATTATAAATAAATGGTACATTTATGTATCAATCTCTCATAAGCAAGATTCTTGTGAAGTCATCTTTTATATATAAATTATATAAAATAATTTATATTATATGCAAAGCTAAGTTTAGTTCCTAGCCTAGCTGACTCAAATCCTTTGTGGCATAAAAACAATCAAGCAGATAATAAAGTGGAGGACCCTGGAAGTACATAGTCACCATATGAGGCTGTTTAGCCCAAACATCCATACCACTTTATTTATACTTTTAACACTCTGCAAAGCTTTTCTTCAAATTTCCACAGGATAATAACCAAACCATTTTTGATTCCTGCCTACAGAAATTATTCTACATTTTTAGGGCCAAGTTCAGTTTTTTTTTTCATGAAGACTTCATCAATCATTTCATTGTAGCTCCAACCATCTCTAATAATAATTCTTGAGCTATTTAACTATATTTTCCTTATTGTTGGTTAGTTTTGTTTCTGATGGTGAAATGCCCATAATTCCAATACATACTAAATGTCCTGAGTGGAAGCCACTGGTATTTTACTCCTTTTGTATTATCCATGGTGATGGGTAATAACCATTAAATTTTCCAATGGTTTCCAAAATTCCAGTATCTATGGAATTTATCCATAAATTCGTCCAGCAGTTCTAACAATCCTTCCCTTTCTTCCTTACTTTACCTTCTTTCTCCCTCATATATCCCAAGTTGCATAAATTCAACCGTATTTTTGGTCTGGTCCTGACCATTTCATTTTCTGCATTTGACTCTATCAGCAGTTGCTCAGAATATTTCTGCTTTTGCCATACCTTGCAGTTTTTGCTTCTTCTACTTATGGCGGGGCTTGAAATTCTGGCTGCTCTGATGGGCTGCTGAGGGAACAAGCTCTTTATGAAGATGTAATGACCAGACGAATTTCGCAAGGTGTGATCAGCAGCTGGCTCTGTGCCGGCAACAGGCGTGCTGCTGGCTTTCAGATTCCAGTCAAAGTCATCGTCCTGCTCCTGCTCCCAGGAACACAGATCGAATTCAAAATCGCAGCGCCCCCTGGCGGTACCTGGAAAACATTTCCCAATTTGTGGTAGAGAGCAAGAGGAAATTAGCCGATTTTAAGGCATGCAACCCAAAACTACAGTGATCATGTAATATTCAAAACTTCACAATATTATATTCACAGCAACATTAAAATAGAATATTCTAGTTTGTTACACACAGCTATTCCCATGGCTTATGTATGTTTATTTCTCCCCAAGTCTGATCCCCAGTCTCAAAATCAGTGACAAAATATTTCAGCATTACACACATTTTCTCCTCCAAGCACCTATTTGGTTAATGTGATTTATTTCCTCTCACATCTTTGCTTTTCAGGTCTTGGTAGGAAATTTAGGAAGTTTATTATTTTGCAATGCAGTTTGGCTTGGGAAATACTGCCTAAAGCAAAAGTTATTAATCATTGTAATTATTTTGTAAACATATTCTCATTTTAGAGAGGAGAAAATTGTGAAACAAAAAAGGTTTAAAGTGCAATAATTTAAATTAATTTATTATAATAAGCTGCAGAAATTAAATATGTTAAGTTGCATTAAGTACCAACTAAGTTGCATTACATACCAGCTTTTATTTCAAATTATTTTTAAAATAGTTTATTACTAACATCGCTTATGTTTTTTTCTTTCACTTCCAGGATAGTAAGAATTACTGAGTTTAATACTGTCCTTATTGATTTTCTGCCTGCTGGTCTATCCACTTCCGACAGAGGGGCGTGGAAATCCCCAACTATGATAGTGGATTCATCAATTCTCCTTGAAATTCTATTAGTTTTTGTCGCATGTGGTTTGACACTGTTGTTAGGCACATACACATTGCAGACTGCCATGCCTTCTTGGACAATGGACCCCTCCATGGCTACGTGGTACCTTTATGCATCCCTGACAATTTTCCATGTTTGAAGTTAGTTCTGTCTGAAATTAACAGAGCTACTCCTGCTTTCTTTTGTTTAGCATAAGCATGGTATATATTCCTCCATATATTTACTTTTAATCTATAAAAGCCTTTATACTTAAAGTGGGTTTCTCGTGGGGTACATACATAGAGTTGAGTCTTGTTCTTTTGATCTACTCGGACGATTTCTATCCTTTAATTGGTGCATTCAAAACACTAATGTTCCAAATGATTTTTGAGAGAGTTGAATTCATATCTACCATATTGGATACTATTTCCCACCTGTTGCCCTGTTTGTTCCTATTTTGGTCTTCTACCATTGTTCTGCCTTTTGTGGTTTTAACTGAACATTCTACATGATTCCATTTTCTCTCCTTTTTTAGCATATTGGTTATACTTCTTTACTTTTTTACTGGTTACCTTAGACTTTACATTATACATTTACAAGTAATAAGAAATATTATCATCAAAAATGCTTACTGGTCAAATATGGAAACACTGATTCAATGTTAGAAAACCATAAGACTTCACTCATGTGTGAGATATAAAACTGAAAGCAACAAAGGAACAAGACAAATAAAGAAACCAAAACTCATAGACACAGACAATAGTTTAGTGGTTACCAGAGGGTAAGGGGGTGGGGGGGTGGTAGAAGAGGGTAAAAGGGGTCAAATACACGGTGATGGAAGGAGAACTGACTCTGGGTGGTGAACACATAATGCAATATATAGATGATGTGTCATAGAATTGTACACTTGAAACCTATATAATTTTATTAACCATTGTCACCCCAATATGTTTTTTAAAAATTGTACCTTGCAAAAGAAATACATTGGCAATGATAAAAATAACATTCAAAAGCATAATGTCTGCTCTGACTGATAACCTAATAGATTGGTGTGATATTCAATAAAAATGGCACTGAATAAAATATAAAAGAATTTGATGCAGAAAAGAGCTACAAATACCCCAGAAAATATTCATAAGGTAAAGGTAAATATTAATTAATACAGAACTCAAGATTAAACAAATGTTTTGTTTGTTTCACATATGATAATAATGGATATTGTAAGAAAGATTCCACATTGAAGGAACAAATAGTTATATGATATAAACAGGATTTCTACATGTGTGGGTTTTTTTTGTTTTGTTTTGTTTTGTTTTAAGATTCAGTTTTACACAGAGATGGCATGGTAGCTTGGGCAAAGTAGTGGTTCATAAATCAAGATACTCGGGTTGTAGGATAAACTCTGTCAATATCAGTTTTGTGAACTTTGACAAAACCTTAATCACTATTGTTCATGGCTCCATCTATGGAAAACACTAATATCTGCCCCACTCACCCCTCAGGGCTCCTGTGAAGATCCACTGCCCATTAGTAAATAAAAGGGCTATGAAGGTTAAAAGTTCTAGATAAATATGAGTTCTTATACTGAAGTTTTTCTTGATAGTCCAGATTTGGTTTCAGGAGGCAAAAGAAAGACCAAACCATAATATTCTAGCTCAGAAGTATATTCTGAGTATATTCCCCTATACTATGATTAGTATAGGGGAATAATTTGTCAACCTTCATTTTGACAATTTGTATTCACCTCATTTGCAATGAAATGAGGCAACAGCCAGACTGTGTTGCACAATTTTACAGTCTTACCCAAATGAGCACTACTTATAAGATAAATAAATACGAGAGATGTAACATTCAACATGACTATAGATAGTACCACTGCATGGTACATTTAAAAGTTGTTAAGAGAGTAGATTCAAAGAGTTTGCATTACAAGAAGAAAGACATGTTTTTCTTTTTCTTTTTCTATTTTGTGTTTTTAACCTATATAAGATTATGGATGTTAACTAAATTTATGTGGTAATCATTTCACAATATATGTAAGTTAAATCATGATGTTGTACACCTTAACTTATACAGAGCTATATCTTAATTATATCTCAATAAAATGGGGGTAATTAATTAAAAGAATTTGCTTAAATATATTTCATTCAGGCCTATTCTCATCATGCTCCTTAATAATGCAATTTGCTCTCCCTCAATTTATGATTTCCCTTAGTTTACCCTATATTTTCTCATAGCTGTCATCACCTTTTAATAAACTTTGCAATTTATATACTGGGGGTGCCAAAAAAATGTATACAAATGACTTGTATTCATCTTTTGTTATCCGTATATATTGAGTATTACAATTTTAATACAGTTTTTTCCTTTCTTAAAATGGGTATACATTTTTTGGCACCCACTGTGTGTGTTTGTGTGTGTGTGTGTGTGTGTGTGTGTGTATAATTACACTTGTATGAATATTTGTGCATGTAGATACAGAGAGACTGTATTTTCTGTTCAACTCAAAAGTATGAGAAATAGGATTTTTGTCTGTTCATTTACTGACATATACTAGCTGTCCCATACACTGCTTCACACATAACTCCTCAATAAATATGACTTAAATTAATTTGATATTCCTGTCTTCTCTATTTCTCTTGATCATTGACAGGGTTTTGAAAAATTTTATCACTTTTGAAATCTTCTCCTTCTTAAATTTGTGTTCTATTCCATTAATTTGAACTATTAGCAAGTTTCTAATATAAAGATTAAGTGTATAAATCTTTCTCTAAGTATTCACTTGTCTAAATCCCACAGGATTCTATGCATTATTTTTATTATTATTTGTTTAAAATGTGTTTTAATCTTATTGGGATTTTGGATGGGGAGGCATGAATTATTAACAGTGTCTTTCTCCTAACCAATACGGAGTATCTTGCTTCTACCTCACAATTGATTTCCAACTGAATTCAAAAGAGACAATCTATGTCACTTTCACCTGTTTAAAATTATTGAAGTTTTCTTTATGTTTAATAACATAACATTTTTTTAGTAAATGTTCTGTGTGTGCTTGAAAAGAATAGATAACTGCAATTGGTAACACTGTTACACTTGCCTATTAGGTTCATATGACTTACTAATTATGTTGATCAGATAAATGTCCAGTGCCCTCACTAATCACAGTGCAGAATTAAATTATTTTGAATATGCTTGAGATACTCTTAATTGTGTAGCAACAATAAATATGCTAATTAAAATGTATAGGGAAACAAGAACATGGTTGTTTTCCAAAGAAGCCTCAGAATCAATGGAAAAGATGTGTGCAAATAAGATTTCAGAGTGCTCAGATCCACTAACAACCTCCTTCTTTGATTATGTCGTATATCTTAGACATAGTATTTATATTATGAAGCAATAAATAACATTCAGATTTTGCATTGAGTCTACATTGATTTACAGAAAATTAAAGCAGTTAGTTTTGTTTTATAAAGGATTATTTTCTCCTCCTATATCAGAGATACTCTATGCCTTTAAAAATAGTTTTCTTTTTTTTAATTCTTTCTGCTATTGTTATGTGACATACTTATACTTAATGATATTTCAGAAATTTTCTTAGAGTTGTGATACATGTTCAGCCTTTACTTAGAATATTACAAAAAATCCAAGTTCACTTTCAAATAACATTATACTGTACATTCATGGGTAGTGTGAGTACCTTACAATAACAAGATAATCTTAATTCCTCCTTCCCATCCCCTGGTACCACTGCTATCATTCCTTTCACTTATATAGCACTCATGAACATATATATGTGTGTACATATATGACATATACATAAACATACAAAATTTAATAATTGTTGCTATTTCATTTTGAACAAAGTGTTATCTGTTACATCAATTAAAAATAAGAGAAATAAGCATTTTTATTTTACCTTTACTTATTCCTTCTTCATTGCTCCCCTTCTTTTATGTAGATCTAAGTTTCTAATCTATATAATTTCCCTTATCTATAAAAAAACTTCTTTTAACATTCCTTTTAAGGTAAGTCTACCGGCAAAAAATTCCCTCAATTTTTGTTTCTCTGAGAAAGTCTTTTCCTGTCATAACTTCTGTTACCAAACGAACAGGATGGCTTTTTCTATTTAACTGCTAACTCAATTAAAATTACATTTGAAACTTGTTTTGGTAATTTACTCTTTCTTAGAATAGACTGTAATTCTTACAGTGTCCTTTAGTTCAAAATCATAAAGTTCTCCTAAGTATTCTTTTAGAGGACTGGGAGATAAATCTCATTAAAATAAAACGGAAGCCCAACTCAGCATCTTGTTTAGAATCTGAACTGCTCTCTTAGTTAAGAATTATAAAATGAGGTAATTCCATGGTCCTCGTGTTGGAGAATTGAGTAGCCCAGGAGGACTAGGTGACCATACAGAACAGCATCTAGAAAGGCCATTTTTATAAGGAAATGATGTGTGCTACTGAAAAACAGATTTCATTTGTTTTTAAAAATCATACAAATGCTGCCAAATGAATCTCTATGGTATAAAACATATTTTTCTTTTGCTACCTACTATAGTTTTGAACATATGTTTCCTCAGAAAGCTTAATTCTAACATACCAGTGGGGAAAATACAGTATGCAGGCGTAAGTTCTCTGAATATCACATCAGTGTGGTGAGAGGGGATAACTTAACATTTCATATTTTCTATTTCCCATAGGTTCCAGGTGAGAAAACAGCCTGTAGTCTTCTGTGACATGCCAATTCCAGGCATTTCATGGAAAAAATCAATGCCAGTGCCAGACAGGGGTGTCATCAGGAAGAAAATAATCACCTTTGTCTACAGCTATATCATCAATCAAACCATTTTCTACCTTTCTAAATGCTATAATTTTTCCATCGATCATTATCTTCATAAGTATGAAATAACTGTTTCATTTTTTTCAAAAAGATATCATTTTAAAAGAACAAAACGTAATTCCTTTTAAAATCCTACCATCAAATTCCTAAAATTCAACACTCACCATTCTATTCATTTATTCATTATTGAGCATATGCTATAAAAAAAGCACATTTAGGAAAATGGGAAATCATCTGGAAAGGGGACTTCTGTGTATCAAACATAATGTGTCTCAGGTTCTGAACATTCTCTTTATGTATGTTATTTTATTTCATTCTTCCACGATACATAACAGGTATTATGCTCATTTGAGTTGAGGAGAAAGCTGAAATTCGGAGTTAAATTACTTTGCTGAGCCTTACACTGTAAGCAGTAGAACTATGAGTTGAAGAATGTTAAGATACAGCCTGGCTCTTACCATCTGGAAGCTCCTTTACCTATTATTTCTTCAACAAACTCCATTCCTCTTACACATGATCAACACAAGATGAACTAAAAGATAAAAAACTAAACTACTAAAATTCTTAGGCTACATGAATCTGTTATGGTAGGCAAAAAAAAAAAGAAAATGACACTGAATATTGTGATCGTCTAATCATATTTAGAGTGTTGTGGTATTTTCTGAACATTTAATTCCATGTTGATGGGAAAATTTGAGAGTTGAAACCATCCAATGGAAGCACATATGGCCCATTTAGCTAAGGATATTTTAATAGTTGCTGTTTATTATGAGTCGATCTCCTACAACCCCATTACATAGCTGATAGGTATCTCTTTTAGGAGATCACTCTGTCTGTTTGACGTATTATTTGGGTATTATTTTTTGTTTTATAACAACTTCTCACATCTCATCATCTACAAAGGAATGACAACTCTCTGAAATGCAGCAAAGTATAGAGACTTGTTAATCCTGCATCAATTGGTTTTGATGGATGTTTTGCTTGTCTTTTTTCCAAAACCTTCTTTCAGATGAATAACACTTGTTTGCATTCTGTTTGTCTTTGAAGACACCTGTTTTCCAATGTATCTCCAATTACTTCACACTCCAATGTGTGTACGCTCCAGTCCATCAGCTATTGGGTTGTCGGAAAAGTCATGACGCGTGTTTGTGACAGATTGCATTAGTTCATTTTTGGAAGTACTAGAGTCATTCCATCTATGTTATTTCTATGTAATTTGATAGCTGACAGTTCTAGTTTCATTCTAAAAAAAAATTGAGCAATTTTGGTTGAATTTTGGAGATTTTGCAACAAGTTGAAGATGGAAGACCAAACTGTGCATTTTTGCAATATTTTACTGTTTTACGTCCATAAAGGGAAGAATGCGCGTCAAGCTTGTGAAAAGTTGCATAAAGTTTATGGTGACAATGCTCTACAAGAATGTCAGTGCCAACAATGGTTCACAAAATTCTATGCTGGTGATTTTGATCTCAAGGACGCTCCTCGGTCAGGGAGGCCCACTGAGGCTGATGAAGACAAAATAAAGGCATTGATTGAGTCAAACCCAGATTACATGACACAAGAGATTGCAGAAACATTGAACCTCCATCATTCAAGCCTTCACGACCACCTAAAGAAGCTGGGATACATAAGCAAGCTCGATATTTGAGTTCCACCTGAACTCAAAGAAGTTCATTTGATGGTGCATATAAACATCTGCAACATGCTCATTAGACATGAGGAAAATGATCCTTTTTTGAAGCAACTGATAACTGGTGATGAAAAGTGGATTGTTTACAACAATGTGGTGTGCAAACGGTCTTGGTTCCCATGTGATGATTCGCCTCAAACGACATCAAAAGCAGACATTCATCAGAGGAAGGTTACGCTCTCAGTGTGGTGGGATTTTAAAGGTGTCGTGTGTTTTGAGCTCCTACCAAGGAACCAAACAATCAATTCAAATGTGTACTGTCAGCAATTGGCCAGTTTGAATGAATCCATCATCCAGAAACACCCAGAGCTTGTTAATTGTAAAGGAGTTGTGTTCCATCATGACAACGCGAGACCACACACAAGTTTGATCACCCATCAAAATTATCGGAGCTTGGATGGGATGTGTTGCCACACCCACCACACTCAGCTGACCTTGCGCCATCAGACTTTCACTTGTTTCGCTCTCTTCAAAACTCCTTGCATGGTATAATGTTCAATTTAGATGAGGCTGTAAATAAGTACCTTGTTCAGTTTTTTGCAAATAAAGAAAGGACCTTCTATGAATGAGGAATTATGAAGCTCACTGAAAGATGGCAAAAGGTTATCGAACAAAACGAGCAATATATCGTTGATTGACCTTTGTTGTTTATATAAATAAATGACCTTTGAAAAACATAGACAAAATACATCATGACTTTTCCGACAACCCAATATTTTTAAATGAATTATGGTTCTAAGTATGCAGAAGGAGAAAATCACGTATGTAATTAAATCACCTTACCTGCCTCGGCCGCTGAGCTATTCATATTCTATCTGTTTCCACAACTAACACACCACATAGAGTAAGGTTGTGGGAGTTGAAGGCAAAAGAAAGGATACAGAACATTTCCACTTACTGCAGATGAAGGCCATCTCATCTGAACCATCAGCGCAATCATTCACAAAATCGCACAGCTTGTCCTGGGCAATGCAGTGCTTGTTGGCGCATGTGAATTCTTGAGCAGTACACTTTCTGTCTGGGCTGAGTAGGGGAGAACAGTCTTGGAAGAAAATGTCATCCACTGCTACATCACCTATGTAACTGACCCCACGTCTTGCCCTAAAGACAATCTGAAGGAAGGAAGGAAGAAATAAAGGAAGGAAGGAAGGAAGGGAGAGAGGGGGAGAAGAAGGGAGGGAGGGATGATAAAAAGAGTCAATTTCAGCTGAACTGACCATCAAGAATTCAAAATTTGGAGCAACCTCTAAAAACAGGACATTAAACTTGAATCTGATGAAAATACCCCATAATGAAACTGACCCAAGAAGCATGAGGGTCATCTAGGATCTGCACCATCCTCAACACCTAAGAATGTGGGAGTGGTGACACTGCCACTTGTCTAGGTTTTTAGGAGAGGTGGGCTACAGAGCAGGCAAGAGTCACCTGCCTCCGCAGCAATCAGATCCAACAAGACCTGAGTGTTTCTTAGAGCCTCATCATACATGGAAGCAAGAGGCCAACCAGGGGACAGAAGGTACCAAGAGAAAGAAGATGCAAACATATCCTTCACTCTGTGTTGCCACTTCTTGCCATTCCTCAGATCTGTCCACACCAACTATTTGAAAGTGAAAAGTTACAAAACTCAACACCACAAGTTTTTTTAATTGCCACATCTTTGGAACTGAAATGATATTGATTTGCCTTTGATTCATATATATGATGAATACAATTCTCATGTGTGTCACTGTTTGACAGTGAGATCCCATTGATGTGGACTCCAAGAGAATTAGAAGTGATGAAAAATAATAACAGGAGTCACTGAAGTTTTCAGAAGGCCCATTTTCAGTTTGTAGCATTACCACTGCTTGGAATAATAATGAACATGCTTTCATAGAACAAAAAAGTAACATACTAAACTACTGTCTAGCTTCAAATTTCTAAGTGAAATTAATTCAGAGTTTCTCTGTAGGCCAAATACGTATTTGTGTGTTAACGTAAGACATACTCATATATTTTAAAGTAAATTTAGAACAATTAGAAATGAATTAAGAAATAGTTACCTCAGTGATTTTATACAAAATATTTATTGTTATCAAACTCTCAAACACCTTTTGACAAAATCTAAAAAAATTATTTTTCTTGAAAGAAATAATGAGTTTTACTTAGATGTTATACTTTTATGTTATTGTGTGAAAATCTAGGTGTTTTCCTTTTAAAATGACTGGGCAGAATAATTGAAAATCATGCCTCTCACATTATTAAAAAAATAAAATAAAAACACAATTTGTATGTAAATTCATATATCAAATTTACATAAAAGGGATCAATTGTTCTTCACAGAAGATGTGCAAAAAAATAAATAAATCTGTAAGATATTTTAAGAGCTTGGAAGTAATTAAAAAGAGATAAAACTGTAAAGAATAATAACTACAACTTTTTTATAAGGTAAATTGAGCCCAAGAAAAACGTTGATACACAAATTGAAAAAGGTACTCTACTATCTGATATATCTAAACATTTAAATACGTGATGCATATTTAAGAAATCACATAACTGAATGAATGTTTCATTATTAACTTGTTTATCTATAATTCTTTAGACACAATCTCAGCTGCCTCTCATGTCCAAATAATTGAATCACCACTTATGCATATCCTAATACTACATACAATAATGGTTAAGATTCCATAGGCTTTAATATTAAATGTGATTAAACTTTTTAAAGAGCAATTATTTCATACATACATATATATGTATATGTGTGTGTATATGTGTGTGTGTGTGTGTGTGTGTGTGTGTGTGTGTGTGTTTTCTTTTTTTTTTTTTCCCCCTGGGAGAACAAAAGCAGGATCAATTCTTTTGTAAAAGTTGGAAAGCAATATAGTACAACAGTTGGGTTATGGACTCATAGATAATCTGCCTGTGTTTAAAGTCTGTCTGCCGTTTTGTGGTTATACATCAAGGGCAGGTTGCCTAACTTCTAGCTATTTCTGTATCCTAATCTATTAAATATATATAATAATAGTATGTACCTCACACAGTTATTGTGAAAACTAAAGGAGTGAATATTTTAAATTCATAGAACAGTACTTAGCACTTTCTAAGTGTTATACATGTGATTGCTGAGGGGCCAATCTATGAGACATAGCACAATCATGTAGCCATGGTTACTGAAGAGTCACAGCAGAATTGGTTACTTCTGCTGTATATACAGAGGACTGGAAATTTAATAATTAGAAAATATAGTATATATTCTATTTAGAAAGAAGTAATTCTAAACTCATGGAGTTAAGCCCTGTGCAGTTTTAAGAAAAAATGTTCTCCAACAAAATGGCTTGGTATTCTCACTGTCTTTATTCAAATCTTAACAAATATTAATAGAGGTCTGCTTCATGTTCCAAGAAAGCCCCCCTTTCCACTCAAAAAAGTGAAAGGATTAAATTTTTAAAAAATGTAAAAACCACACACAGTTCCACAGAGCTCTTGTATTCTTGAAAATTCATGAAAATTAAAACCCATACCAAATGTCTTGGCATGTCATTATGTTCAGTTTAAACATTTTAATCTACATACTGTTTGTTTTTTTTCTTTGTTTTATATATAGATAGAGAGGGAGATTATAAGAGGATGAGATATATATATTTATATATATGAATCTTATTAGATAAATATATATCTCATTATCCTAATATTCTTATAATTTACATGAAGACCAATACATCACAAAATTTTGTACCTCCCCAAAATATTTTAGAAATAAGTAAATTTATTAACTCTAAAAAGGATCAACAATATAATGTGTTTTCAAAAGTCTGTCTTTTTAATCACATTTAAAATAATGTAATTATGCTACAGTCTCTGAGAATATATTTATAACATAGATGGAGGTGTTCTTTACATATGGAAGGCTGCCTGATTGTGGAATAGAGGACAGTTGTCATTAAAATTAAATGTTCCTAAAAGTATGGTTGTCTAATTGGGAGAAATTAACACATTCTGAAATTGTAAATTCCTTATGGAAAATACTATATGTATACAAACAAACACATCAGAAATGGAAGACTGTGAGTGGAGGAAATAAATTATGATTAAAGAAAAAATATCAACAAAACTTCATCACTCAACGATTGGGATTACAAACCTGCATATGTGAATGAATGCCCAAAAATACTTCTACTTTTTTCCACTGTGCGCCTTGCTGTCCACTTTGAGCCCACAATTTAGAAGTAACATTGTCTTTCTTGCTGAGTACCTGCAGAGATAAATCAAGTAAGAAGTGCTGAAATATTTTGACTTGATAAATTTTAAACATATAGAATTTTCCTAGTGATTTTTTTTAAAATTTTAATATCAACATGAAGTCCCTGAGAGAAAAGCTAAGGCATTTTTTCATTAGATGGCTTTGTTTTCTATACAGCACTGTGTCCCCAGGGTATCTCACTAGCTTTGTGTAATAAAAGTGAGCATGAATATCTGTCAGTCAAGTCTGAAGGTATCTGGGCACCATTTAATTAAGAACTCTAACCACATTGGCTTTTTAAAAAGCTGACAGCAGTAACAATTGGAATTTTATATATGAAATAATATCCATGTAGCCAAATGAAAACCATGGATTACCTGCTATAACACTCTTTTAAGAACGACCTTCCTCATTCTTTTGGGTGCCGTGGTGACAGTCATGTTGTAGTGGGAGCCCATTAAGTGTTAACATCCCACGTGTGTGACATGAGCCGGCACCACTCATGCTATGCCAGTAAGATCTCCCTACCCAGCAGCCTTGAAACTACAGATTCTCATCAGTACTGTATTCTCACTCTAAGGGAAAATTCAGATTAGTCTCAGCAGACAAATGATCACGGCTCTTTTAGAATGATACAAAATGAGCCATCAAGAGAGTAACTGAAGACAATCAGGAAAAGCAGAACAATTTCACATTTTAAAATCACTGACTTAGATAGTTTATTTAATTGTCTCACAATAATACCTTTAAAAATACAATGTGTACAACCAAAGAATTATTCAGGTTCGTGATGGTTCGTGATGGTTTTGACTTTTGAAAGTGATGGTAACTTTTAATGGTTTCATTAGCTATCTTTTTAAATTAAATTCAAATGGCTGCTTTTATAGTAGTAGAGTTTCTAGTCTTGAGTTTCTAAGTAACATATGACTAGCAATAATATCACCAAATTCTTGGTCTATAAAATTCAATTTAAATCAGCATGTTATCATATCAAAGCCAAGGAAATATAATTTCTTAAAAAATATGAACCATTTTTGACAGATACCTAAAAAAACTCTGAGAAGTAGATCTTTGTATGAATAACACCCTATATATAAGTCACTAAGGAAAAATGTGTTCATGCAACATAGTAATGCAAAGTTTAGTGTTACTACATTCAACCATGCACAAAGTAAGGACTACTTTATTTATTTGATTTGTTTAATTATTTGATAATCAATTACTTATAATAAAATTTTAATATTGTTTTATAATTTTTCATCTACTAATACAAAATCTTATCTAAAAAAATGAAAGTATATTTCAGGTAATCTCAACCAGAAAATATACTAGTTAAATAATTCTCATTTTTCTGATGAAAATTCTGCAGTAAGTTGTACTGATTGTTTTACCTAAAATTGTTTTTTAAAAGTCAATGTAGGGCCATCCGAGTGGCTCAGTTGGTTAAGAGCATGAGCTCTAAGCAACGGGATCACCTGTTTGATTCCCACATGGGCCAGTGAGCTGTGCTCAACCTAAGCTGCCACTGAGCTGTCAACAGGTGGCAGGATGGCTCGGCTGGTGAGAGCACGTGCTCCTAACAACAAGGTTGCCAGTTCGACTCCTGCATGGGATGGTGGGCTACGCCCACCTGCAACTAAGATTGAACATGGCACTTTGAGCTGAGCTGCCCTGAGCTGCCGAGAGCTGGCCGGATGGTGACTGGACTTGGAGCTGAGCTAGCTGCACCCTCAAAAACTAAGATTGAAGGACAACAACTTGGCTGTTCCCCTCCCCCAATTCCCCAATAAAATCTTAAAAAAAAAAGTCAATGTAAAACAAAGGATAAATTGTAACTTCAATCCAAAAGTCTATTTGAAAGCTTTTAGATTACTAAATATACACACATACATACATATAAACAAGTTTACTGTTAAATTGTTTGGGGTAAGAAGTCTCATCTATAATAAAGACAATTCTTCTAAAATTGATCTATAAATTTAATGTTTCCAATAAAGCACAGCATATTTGAAATAATATATGTTTATATGAAAATTTAACATGGCCAGGAGATAATTGGATAAAAAAGATGTGGTACATATATACAATGAAATATTACTTGGCCATAAGAAAATACAAAATACTGCCATTTGTGACAGCATGGGTGGATCTAGAGACTATCAGGCTAAGTTAAATAAGTCAGATAGAAAAAGTTGAGAACCATATGATTTCACTTATATGTAGAATATAAAACTGAAAGCAACAAATGAACAAGACAAATAAACAAGCAAAAACTCACAGACACAGACAATAGTTTAGTGGTTACCAGAGGGTAAGGAGGGAGGGGGTGATAGATGAGGGTAAAAGGGGTCAAATATATGGTGATGGAAGGAGAACTGACTCTGGGTGGTGAACACACAATGTGATATATAGATGATGTATTATAGAATTATATACTTGAAACCTATATAACAGGTATATTATATTTATTACTAACCAAAGTGACCCCAATAAATTTAATTTAAAAATATATTTAAAAGACAGGAGGAAAAAAAGCACCTAATATTAAAGTTTCAATGGAAAATAAGAAGCTAAACAGCTGGTCTGCATTCTATTTCTCTCTATTGGGGAAAAAGGAAGCAGGTAACCCAACTGTAATCTCCTTGCAAAAATGCTAAACATAGGCTTCTTTGTAACTAAATTAATGGTATTTGATAAGACAAGAGTCCTTATCTATATGGTTGCTTTTAGGGAGATATCTACTCATGGTAAACAATTCTGAAATTTTGGGATTTATTTTACAGACATGGCTTCTTGGAAAGTGTTATATAAGCTTTGAAACTGAGTATAAATAGAGATGCTTTAAAACCGAGTTGGCTTCTTCTATGTAAATGATGCATCTAGACATAATACTTACAAACCTTATATATTATATAAGGCATTTCCAGTATGGGAAGACAGGATCTAAGGATGTGCGTTTATATTCTAGGACCTCTCTGTTTTGCCTGTATAACTTGGTCTTCTAAAAAAAAAAAAAACAAAAAACAAACAAAAAAAACCCCAGGACCCCATGGAGAATTAGTTAACACCAAGGATGGAACAGAATAAAAATGAGATGAATCTAAAACATTTTTTGGCCAGGAAGAAAGGAAATGCTCAAAGACTAATGGGCTTGTCAAAGAAACATAGAAGTCAGCTTAAAGGGTCTCCTATGACCAAATCTGGAACAATAAAACCAATAAATAATAAAAAATAAGAGATGATAACAAATTGAATACAATAGGAACCCATGAATTCACACTGCTATAGATCAATAAATGGGTAAAATGGATCAATAAATGGAGAGAAAATTTGGAGGTATTTTTACAATAGAAAACCAAGCTATAAACGTAGACAGAATACTGGCGTTAAAAAATCACAATTAGGTAATCATCATAGTAAAATTAACTCCAGCAAAAAATACTACAGGGTGCAAAAACTAGTGGGTAAAATTGAGCTGATATCAGGGTTTTACATACTTTCAAAATATTTCTTCCTCCAAATTTATTGATAACAAAGGGAACAAAAGTACTGAGACCAATGGACATCATGTCAATGGGATGGAATAAAAAGAATGCAATATTGGTGATATAGAAAAAATAAAAGCTTAACATTGAAAATATCCAAATTGAGAGATGTTCTACAAAATAATTGAATTACTATCTTTTAAGGTATCAATATCATAGAAGTTAAAGGAAGATTAAGGAATCATTCTAGTTTGAAAGACTCTAGAAAGAAATAACAACTAGATGTGATATGTGATTCTGTATTGAACTAAATTTTTCCTATAAAAGATGCTACTGGGACAATGGGCAAAAAATAGGATCCCTGTGTGAAGGGAATATTGAAGATATCTGTGAGATTCTCTTCAATTTTTTTGAGTTCAAAACAATTTAATTTTTTTTTTACAAAGAAACAATTTGAAAAAGAATTTAGCACCACTACCATCAAAAACAGCTGTAAGAATACAGATTCAAATATCATCATGTGTATAGTCATTTGATTATGCTAGTCTCAGCACATTAATACTGAAACCTACATGAAATATTTCAAGTATAATGCAATATTTCAAGTATAAAACCATATAACACAGAGCTGAACCTCAGCATAAAGACTATAATCCTAAATTGAACAGTAAAAACAAAAATCCTTCTAGCTACTCAGGTCCAATTCTGCAAAAGCTTATTTTCCAGTCCTGCCATTTTGAAACTAGTAAAGTGTTGATAATGGTCCATTTTCATTTATTAGCAAATGACGTTTTAATAACACTAAATTATACACCATGAATTTTTATACGGCGCACTCAGTACCTGTAGAGAACCAACTGTGGCGCCATTCATATGAGTCCAGAACACAAGGGTACAGCTTGGTCCCGTACGTGAGATAACAGGGGTGAGGACATCAGCAATGTCACCAAATTTTCCATTTGAGCTATCAGCATACAAATACCAGCCATCTGCAGAATTTCTGGGGAAAGTATGATGTATTTATAAGGCAAAAAAAAAAGAAAATCATAAAGAAAGGAAATCAAAATATAAGATAGTTTTGTCATTGGTCATATTTTATCATTCTATAAACTTTCCTGAAAGTATAACAATGTTCAATAACATAATGATGACTCATAACCTTCAGCAGAAATAATTCTATTCTGATTTTGAATCTAGGTGTCAATTGGTACAAAGTGTACATATTATGATAAAGGCTGAAATTACCAGGTCTCGTCTGTAATAACTTGGTGGGGTTATTTTTACAATGATCCTGCCAATACCCTGATCACCTTTGTGGAGCTTATGTGGTTGAAATGAGGCCCTGAAGTATTGAACAGCTTTAGAAGAGGCATAAAAAGAAGGAAAATATATAAATAATTAAAGTATAAAAACCATAAGGGAAACTGGTCTGGTGTTCTACTCAGAGGTCTAAAAGGCTTTCAGCTTCAAATGTATTCTTTGTCTATTAATTTAGGTCAGTGATACATAAACATATTTTAAGAAGCTGGTAGATAATTTTTAAAGTGCTTCTGTTCTTTCCCAGTTGCAAATAAAAGAGGAAAAATAATGATGGACACATTTAAATATCAATGTAATCTTGCCACTCAAGACAGAGTTTCTGGCCCCACTTTCATTATCAATTCAAACGAAAGATAATAAAAGATTAAAGACATGCTAGGTAACAGCTTTTTTTCCTTAATTTATTTACTTTTACTGTGAAATAAACATTTTTTTAAATTAGTTTCAGCTGTACAACACAGTGAAATAGTTATACTTTCTACCCCTCAAAGTGACAAACCTCTTGCCCTACACACACCTTTTTGAATTGATAGATAAGAAAGTGATTCCCCACAATTTGGGCATTCTGGAACTCTTTCTGTGATTAATTAGATTTCTTATCACTTTCTTATATAAGTTCCATGCTAGAGTATACAGAATTTAAACTTGCTACGTAGTAAAAGTTTTTATTTTGAAAGTTTTATCATTTATAAGCACAGAAATATGAATTACTAATAGCAAATAGATGGAGAGAAAGACTTTCAATCAGCACATATTTAGTCAGTCATTCCTAGTCTTGCCTGGCCAACGTGCTGGGAATATGACTGGGAGCAAAAGACACACAGGATTTGGTCTCTGGCCTCACCATTTACTGGGTGGGCAACTTTAGGCGGGTTATTTAACCTCTCTGAACATACCAGTTTCAAAATAAGTAGACCATCTAACCCAGTACCCGACATATCTTATATATTTAAAAATGAAAGTTGTGATTTGTGGTTTAGTTTATGTCATTAATTGCTGCTAATGGGATAAAGACTTTAGTATCCTGCAAAAAAAAAAATGATCTTAATTCATACCCTCCGTTAAGAGGCAGGATTACTATATGAATTTGTCTGAATTGTGTCTCAGTGAATAAGCACTTCCAGCTTTGTTCCTTGTGTGTTGAATACCCCCAGGATCCCAGGGACACAGAGCACAGACAAATATACAAATGATTTGTTGATGTCTACAGTCATTGAGATTCAGCACAATTTGAATAGATACTTTTCCCCAGAAATTGACAAACTAATTTTAAGCTTCATCTAGAAATTTCAAGGGCTAAGAATAGCCAATTTTTTCATCAAGAAGAATAAAGTTGGAGAATCTATCAGACATGAAGATTTATTATAAAGGTGGACTAATCAAGACAGAGTAAAGCTAGAGAAATGGGCTAGAGAAACAAACAAAATAGTCCTGAAACAAATCCATATATATTTTTTGTACACGTGACTTAGGAAAAGTTTGGCTCTTCAGAGCAATGAAGGAAAGAACAATCTTTTCAATGTGGACTAAATAAATTAGGTAGCCCTGTGGAGAAATAAGACAAATTCACCTCTATTTCACAGCATTCAAAAATAATAAATTCCAGGTAGATTGTACCAGGAATGGAGAAGGTGAAACAATTAAGCCTGTCTAAGTAACATAATAATATTTTTATAACGCAGAATGAGAAAGTTTTTTTAAGCAATATATGAAAATTACTAATCATAAGGGGAACTATTGAAAAATGGGACTATATTCAAATTAAGGATTTCTGTTTACCAAAGATACCAATATGATGATCAAAAGGCCTACCAGTGAATGACAGAAAACATGTGTACCACATTTAATAAAGGTAACAATTATTGATTGCCTACTATTAATATATACCATGCACTACGCCACATGTTTAATTGTGTTTGTGTGTGAGACAGTTGTTATACATACATATTATGTAACTGCATACACACCATCAAGAATTAGATGCTACATCCCAAAATGTTCATATCTGTGTTTGAGGGTCATGTATATCTTATTTTCTATACAGTGCATGGTTCATAGTAAACCCTCAAAAATAAAATAAATAAATAAATAAATACAATAAACAAGAGAGTTTAAAATTAGGCGTGCATCATGTGGAAATAAAAAGATAAAGGGAGTGAGAGAACTGTGGATTCAGATAAAATTATACATGAAAAGTTGATAATGTGTGCTAGGCTATGAAAAAAACAATCAAAACAAAACAATAAGACAGAACAAAGCTAATAGATTTGGAGACCATGAGAGAATTAAGGGACTAAAAGTCACAATTCTGGCAACAATAAAAGCATCTACTTTATGGTTAAACCAGAGGTCCCTGTATTAGTTTCCCAGAAAGTATACAATGGAAAAAAAAGGTAATTTTTAAATTTCCTAATCCATTATAATTCAAGAAAATTCAGTTGCAAGGATAAATATAAATTATGGACACAATTTGTTACAGTTACATATCCCTGAGCTAACCCATCACCTGCAAGGAAAAGAAAAAGGGAGACATGGCAGGAGAGCGATTCGAAAATTTCAAAAAAGAAAACTGAATTTGTGTGTTTATATCACACTATGAACAGAGTTACCAGTGTAGCAGTATATCTTATATGCATTAGCTCAGGGCACATGATGTATATACAATTCCTAATGGAAAAATGAAGAATTACACGAATGCTTGCCTCTGTCTGGGATGAGATTATTCAAGCATGTACCTGCAAAGGAAATAAACTCCCCTCCTGGAATGAGTGCAGCTGTAATGATCACACCTAACTGTGCTGTCACTCATAAAATAGCATCTCTCTGCCAGGATTCAAATTGTCTTTCTTCATACAGGGCAGGAAGGAGGTTGTTTTCTAGAAACACATCTTTTCTAATAAAACATATCATAAGCCACATAGCAGTAAAGGTTTAAAGAAAGTAGTAAAGGGTTATGCACTCAGGTGTTGCAAAACTGAAGGTCCCAGGTGATGATGCACATGTCATTAAAAAATGTCACTCTAAAAAGAGGTCTGATTTACAGTCTGTGCTATTTTAAAGAAAGCTTCATAGGTCTCCAGGATGATCAGTTTCTAAAGCCATTACACATATTAAGCAATTAAAACATTGCCTTTTTTTCTTCCCCTTATTTGAGAATCTCCTGGGTATTTACCCTAATTAAATGCGTAAGAAAAATGTACCCTTGCATGGACAAATTAAACTATTTTGAGTTAGGTCAATTGACCTATGATCCTGTAAATGCACCATACGAGGGACATAATCTCCAGGCTTGTTGTTTAGCTTGAGATATGTCTTTTAATTCATTGTGATAACATAGGTTGTTTTCACATACCTGATGGGATATGAGATAATAAATATCATGAACTTGATTAGCTTCATAAGGAGCAGAAATGCAAAGTGTTCAATAGTACGTTCTTCTAATGGTTTCCATAATCTTACCCTAGTACATGTATAAACCATTCTTGCTTTGTAAGTGGCTCCCAACATCTCCACCAACTCCACTGTGTATGGTAAACAAAATTCTTGACCCACCAACTGCTGCAGTGGGCGTCTTAAACAAGCCAGACCAATCAGAGTTCTTATGTGGAGTTTTTAGAATATAAAGTAAAGGAAAAGAAACATTCCTTCTTAAGTGGCAAATCTCTTTATAAGTGGATTCCCCAAGGTTTGAAACCAGCTCTGTTTAAGTTCACAAGTACCCTCTACATTATGCTACATTATTGCAGAAGAGACCTCCCAAAAAATTTTATTTGACCTTATTGATCCTTTCTAAAATACACATCTGATTTTCCCATCCTGCTTAGAAATCTTTCATACATCTCAAAGTGACTCAAAGTGAGAGTCTTGAGCTAAACTGTATGTTAGTCGACTGCAAGTAAATAAGAAGCTTCAGTAAAATACACAATTCACCTTACACACTCCAGATCAGCTGATATTGTATTGTTCATAGCAAGACTTTCTTGATAAAGGAAACAACAACTTCACTTGCATTCTAGTGCAAGCTCTTTATCTCATCATGCATTTGTAACTAACAACCCACAGACTGGCATTTCATACAGCACTGGTGCATATTGGGGGGACAGAGGATGCTTTCTATAAAAGACAGATAGTAAATATTTTAGGCTTTGTGGGCCACACAGTCTCTGTTACAACTCTTCAACTCTGTCTTTTTAGCCTGAAAGCATCCATGGACTGCTTAAATGAATGGTTATAGGCATGCTGCAATACAACAGTATTTACAAAAACAAGGATCAGGCCAGAATTGGCCCATGGGCCATAGTTTGCTCACCACTGTTCTATGGACAAAGTCTCAACTCATCAGGATCTGAAGAACTGAGGAACTTCCTATACAAATATCTGGCTCCAACTTTCATATATCACTTAACTTAGAGACCCAGATTGATATCCATTATATTTGTTCATGCAATTGTTTGAATATATCATATACACACTTTCCTTTCTCTGTCTCCCTTATACTGAATGGTCTTTCTTCTGGGCACAGTTACAACCTCTGCTCCTAGCCTTTTCTCTTTACTGCTCTGATTTATCCTCCACAATGTATTTCAAATATACTTTCACCCAAGTCTTCTTAGTTTCCTAGACTCAAAATTCTTTGATTCAAAATGACTTCCTCACCTAAGAATCCCATAGCATTTTATA